TACTTCCCATGGCTCACCCATCACATCAAACACCACAGATCTACCTGCGGGTTCAGCCGTTCGTTGGCCGGTGTTGTGAACCAATTCGCTAGACCTATCCACTGTCCATTGAGGCAACCCTGCGGCCGTCATGGACGTGCTTGCTCGGGTCACTCCGGGCCAGGCTTCATGGCTTTCCTCGCGATGAACTACCACCGCTTCTTCCTCAGGCCATCCAAGCTGCCTTCTGGCCGCTACGACCCCAGGCGGTGGCCTGTTCGCCTCCTCGATGCGGACCAGAGCTGACCTCCTTGAAGTCAAAATCGGTCTCCTAGCACCCCCGGCGTTGTTCATGCCTCCAGCCCTTCTTTGACAAGGCACTACAGTGGATGCTTTCCGAACGGCCGCCCTCGAACCCAAAACAGCTGCCCCCCTTTTCCCTCGTCCTGGCTCGCAGTTTGAAGCCAAGCTCTAAACATTGAACGCAAAGGTGGCACCGCCACTCGCTGTGCATGTTGCAACGCTTGTGGGATGGACTGACCCTCACTAATGCGGGACAATGGATCAGCTAAGTCATTCAGCACCCCTCTCAGGTGCATACCTCACAAGGCGTCCAGTTCGAGTGCCTCCAACTGCAATGCAATCTCTCCTGCCAGCAACGACATCAGAGGCGATTTGCCCCTGAGGGTCAGGGCTGTGTGAAGAGCGGACGTACTGTCGCTGTGCAAGTAAAATTGAATCAGTTTAAATGGCTAACAGTTCAATCTCAGACTGGTATGCTGGATCATGTAACCGAGCTTGCCCCCCCAAATCTGCACAATCCTGCTCGGTCAGTACGTGTGCGATATAGTGTGGGTGTCTCACTCACAAACAACACGGCACCTAAGCCGGTTGGGGAAGCATCAGTTTCGACCCGAACCACTCTTGGCGAGGCGTCCCACCTGTAAGTCCGAACTAACGGCTTCAAGTCTGTGTCACCAGAGCCACACCCCTTGAGCGAAAGCATCCGTCGCAACCATTGCAATGGATGTTTCACCTGACGAACGAACGTCAGTCCTTTCCTCTCCGGGCGCGAGCCCTCTTGGGCCCCGGCCCCGTCGCTGCTCGGCTCTGTGACATGGCCACCGCCGCCAGAGCTGGCTCGTCCATGGCCTTCCCAGCGGAATCAAATGCGAAACCCATGAAAGCAACCCACACAGCTGCTCCAGCTGTTTAGTGTTGATCATGGATGTATGGGACTCTATCTCATCGATTGCTTCCAGCACTTTAGCAACCTTTTCCGGGGGAAGCGAAACCTCCAACGTTCTAGGCTGATCCCCAATCAAAGCCAGTCGAACTCCGATCCAATCGATTGTGCTCCCTCGTTGGGCTTTGCGCCATGCCAGTTTAAACCCCTTGCCACTGGCCATAATGATGGGGTCATCGACACAACACTGGAGGCGTGCGGTCTTGGTGGGCATGATTGTGGCGGCAACACGCCCGCAAAGCACGGGCCCACATGCAAGTCCAAAGCAAACACATTTAGGGAGGATATATGTGCCATCCAAAGCTTTGATGCATACCCATGCCCTTTCCCGGAGATCCAACCGAAGCGTGTAAAAGCGTCAGAAAAATCCATCACCATCATTTCTAGATGTTCACCTGAATGCATGTCTTTCAAAAGTTCATGAACAGCAACTGCAACATCAGAAATCCTAGGTAGACAGATGCGTTCAAGCAAATTCATGCGTCCATTGACGCCCGACCTACGCACGTCGACTATCAGCCGGGCTTTCAATTTCCCGTCTTTCACCTTCTCGACGCACGCAAGCTGCGTCAGTTTTGCCTCGGGGCCAACGAGTGCGACCACTTCCTGCCAAGACGAAGCTCTGTCTGCTCTGCCTGTCTCGACCATTCTGTCCAGCTCTGCTTGTGCCCGTGCCCGGCTTCCTGCATCATAGATAGAGGAGTAGTTCATGGCGTCGCCATTCCAATCCTCAAGCAGGATGCCAATCGTCTGGGATGCTTTGATCGAGGCTGACACATCGTCAGTCGCAGGAAAGACACTCGTGTGCTCAATTGGCACACATATGCCCAGAGGCAGCATCGGCTGCGGCTTCCAGCATTGCCCTCAAAAGTGCAATCTGGTAGCCTTCCTCATGTGCCTTTTCATTGACATCAAATTCTTCATGCAAGGCTTGCCTAGCCGCCTAGCCCGTTGGATCAGCTCAGGGGCCATGCTCATATCGTTTTCAAACTGCGCACGCTCCAGTGCTTGTCTAATGCAATGGCCCGTTGTCCTGAGCTTCTTGCTATTGGCCACTGCCTTTCGAGGGTCTCGAAGTCCCCCGATGGCAGCCGCATCTTCTTCCTCCCTCACTTCCTTCTTTGACTTGTCCTCTAGGTTCGCCCGGTGTTCTCCAGGCTGGTCTTCGAGCTTCGCGTCTTTTGGCCCGTTGCTCATCTTCTGCACCAGCTCTTCTCTTTGGCGCTTCAACACGCTCAGCTTCTCCTTGGGCACCTTCAGCTGGTTGGCTTTTGTTCTCTTCTCACCCATGCCCTCTCTGCCAACCAGTTGTATCCAGCTGGACTTTCCAACCATTGGAGGAGATCTGCTGCAATGGGTTTCAGCTACCCGCGAAGTCTTCCACACCATACTCTGGGATACGGGGTCCCAGGTCTTCCCAACAAGTCCTCCTGGGATGTGAAAGTGAGGCCTCACGTCCGCGCATCGAAGTGCCACACTGGCCATCCATGACGCCGACGTCACTATCCTTGTCCCCTTCGTTGAGTGTGCACCATATGGGCATTGATCCAAGGCCACATTGCACACGCGCTTCATCTTCAGCACCTTGGCCATCTTGCTGTGGTCTCATGCAAAGGAGTGCTCTGGGTTCTCCAACGACCAGGTTTTGCCGGCGTCTTCGATCAAATAAATCAAAGCCAGCGCCCGCTCCAGGATCTGGTTCCTGTCCTCTGCAATAGGGTGGCCCCAGCCTTCTGGCCAATCTTCTGTTCTCACCACTTGCCCCGAGCCGTAATTGTCTGATCTTCTTGCTCGGCTGAAGCTTCGGCATGGGAAGGCAATGTGTGTGTGGTCTGCATCCACCACCGCCTTCTTGGCTTTCTCGAAGCCCTCTTCCGTGAGGATGTCCCAGTTGCCCATGACATCCAAAGGCTCCATGATGTTGACGATCTTGCCACACAGCCATTTCACTTCTTTCGAAAAGCCCGCCTTGCCCGCAAACAGTTCGAGGAACTTGAACGATCTCGTACCTGCAGGGTTCTCGAAGTCCTTGTTGGTCTCCTCGGTCTGCCGGGGCATTACGGTGCCTCCATCCACCATCTTTGCAGCTGTGTCCTCGTGACCTGCTGACAGGTCGTCAGTTCTTGTTCTTGCTCTTGCCTTTTCCCTTTCGCTTGGTCTTGGGCTTCTCCGGACATTGGGAGTTGGGACGCTTCCCAAGGCACGTCTGGCAGGAATGGATCCGACCATCCTTGCATGGCTCTGGACAATCTCCTGGCTTGCCCTTGGCGAATCGAAAACAAATCTCGTGCCCCTCCGAGGTGGTGATGTACTGCTTTCCCCATTTCTGGGGGTGGTCTTCTCCTCCTCCTTGACCTGCAGACCCACGGGGCGCTTCGCCTTCGGGCTTCTTCTTCTGCTTCTTCTTGCGGGATGGGCCATCTTCTTCTAGCCCAAGAGACTCTTTCGCAGGTGGCGGCATGTTCACACGCTCGGCCTTGTCCAAAGTCATGTTCCTGCCCCCTCTTGCGATGAACATGCTCTTCCCAGTATTCCCGATGTCTCGCAGCATGCGTGACCACCCCGATCCAAGGCTGCTGAGGCAAGAACTCTAGGCCCATCGGCAGTCGATTCTCTGCTACAGCTTTCGTCAAATGCCGCCTGTGGCGTTCGAATTTTTTTGGGACCTGCACTTGTCCTCGGCCTTCATGATCAGGTGCCACGTCTGTGGGAAGTCTTGGTTCAGCTTTGCAATGCGGTCGCAGTACTCCTCCAGCAGGCTGCCGTGACAACCTTCCAAAGGCGGATCTGTCGGAGTGGGACCCGGATACCTCAGCATGAATAAAATGGATCGAAACACTCGCCAGCACGCTTTCCATGCTTCGAAGCTTGGAGGTCCAGGGATATCCTATGCCTTGAAGGTGCCATCTTGCTGGAGCAACCATGACCGCGTCTTCAGCTGTTTCTGCATCGTCCTCCCAAAGGGAGTCAGGGTTGAGAAGTCTGCGTATGGGCTCTCTCCTCTCCGGATGATGCGGTCCCGGAGCGCTGCCACTTGTTCTCCAGTGGGCTCTGCGTCGTCTCAAGGTTCGGCACCAGTCATCTCTGTGTGATTGAGATGGGCTTGATCCAGCTCTGCCCCCGACATGATGTCGATCTCGGAATCGTCTATTTGGTCTGTCACACTGGAGACCTTCACCTTCTTGGTGGGCGATGCACCAGCTACAGCTGGTGGAGTGGCTCCTCCTCCAACTGGTGGGGTTGGATCTGCTAGAGGATCGATGTCCTCCATCATCAAGCTCTGCCTGCACAGAGTAGGAGTTGCCACACACCCCCAACGATCTGTCCACGGCCTGCCACACCTGCTCGGAACAGTGGCGGTGAGCATGAGTGCGACCGAGGGAATCCAACGTCGCCAGCTGAACCGCTGTAGGCAAACCATAGCCAGCCATGGACACAAATCAATCCCAATGCAAAGCAGCGAAGCTGGTGGGACCGATGCATACACAAGTGGGAATCACAGCAGCGACTCGACACCACAACCGTGTCGCCAGGCACCCAGCGACAAATCCAAACACGAAAGGCGCAACCAAGAAGATTTCAAGGTACATCGCAAGGAGACCTACCTCCTTTCACTGGGGGCACTTGAGAAGTAAAGCATGCACGTGTGATATGTCAAACTTCCACCACATGACACACGTTTCGGCTTGTTTTCCCTATGCAACCAAGTTTGCGTCACAAAAACTCTAAAACTGTTTGCTCTGGCCATCCTGGTCAAACCACGCTGCCAAGATTCGCTTCTAGATCGTCTAGGCCCTCTTTTTCGGCCAACACTTCGGGCAGCGCGGGCGTGTCTCCTGGCCAAATCGCTTGAAGGCTAGGTGGCTAGGTTTCTGAAATCCCCCGAGGATTCAATGTGCTGGCCCCCCAAAATATAGACCTGACCCAAGGGTCGTCATTTCATCCAGTTTATCCCAGTTTGACCATGCTTGACCACCGACACTTCCACTGCTCCACCCCGATGGTCCATTCCTGCAGTCTCATTCTTGCTCTCTCCCATCGCCACCGAGGAGGCAGCTGCCTCTGTGACTTCAGGGGGTGGGTCGGGATCCTTCATGCCGCGCGCCATCCTCCATGTCCTTGGCATGGTCAGCAGCACCAAGTGCCAATAAAGCCGCACGTGACTCACGCGAAGCCACTAGGATCTCCGCAAACTAAGTATCAGAGCTCTGCTCACACCACCCTCGATAAGTAAGCCTTTGGTCTCTCACATTCCAAGCTTCAGAAACGTCGCCCGCATGCAAAGGAACTGGGTCGCCACCATCTGCCGTCTACGAGAGGCCCTAGCCACCTGATGAGCTGTGACAGGAGGAGAGCAATGAAAGCTAGCGTCCCCACTCTAGCAGACTCTGACACCCGCTTGTGCAGCTCCACCCACCACCAAAACTTTGGCTCACACACCCAAACCCAACTCGATATGAATGTCACGCCGCGTATTTTGGCCCATCCCCCTCTTCGCACCTGGGCGACTCGCCCATAGTGCTGCTCCAAGTGCCCACCAGCAAACCCAGAGCCCACACTGTGGCCGCCGGCAGCCGCGATGACCTCCTCCGTCCGGTGGAAGCGATACTTCTCCTCCGACACCCGCTGCTTTCCCGCCGGGGGCACTGTGACAAAGTCGCTCAAGGCGTGGGAGCTCTTCAGTTCGTACGAACTCCTCGGTGGAGGCTCATCTGGGGGAGGATGCATTTTGGGGCAGGGAATTATGTGGAGACACTTAAACTGTTCGGGAGGGATGGAGGTAGGAGAGTTTTAGAAGCAGCAACGTTCTATTTTGGCCTGGCTGGGGTGATTCTCCAAGCCACTGGTAGGTCGACACCATCACGTCGTTCCCGCCCCCGCCAGTTGCAGCAAGCCTCGGCCGGAAGCAACCATTTGGGAGAGAAGAGCGGGCAGAAGGCTGCTCACGAAGCAAACCCCTAAAGTGGTGGAAGCGCGCAACCCTCATTCCTCCTCATGCCCAATCTTCAGCCAGGCCACCAACGGGTGGACACCTTCACACTTTCCACGCCTTCAGTCGCGCCTTCCACGGCAGCGGCTCGGTGGTAGAACCTGAGTTGATGCCGATGGGTGGGGGGGATCTCCACGTCGCCCACTCTACACCAGGCCACTGGTAGGTCGACATCATCACACCCTCGACCTCCTCGGAAGCAGCAATCCTCCAGAGGCGGTGCCAGATGGAATGAGCCGGGTGTGGATGGCCGAAACTGGGTTTTTGAATCTCCACCTTCCCAACATCTCCTTGCCTCCAAGGTGGAGGAGGCCATTCTGTAGTAAAAGTGGTCTTTGGCTGCACCTTGGCCTCACCAGCGGATTTTCGTGTTGAAACACTCCCAAACCCAGCATCTCATTACACCGCCCTGAGAGTAATTTGCGCAACACAGGGTTTCCGGGAGGGTACCGGGATGTGCCATCAATGTATTTATCCTCGCTATTTGGCACCTGTAGAGTGCGCAGGGATAGGGGGTGAGCAAAATGCAAACTCAAAAAATATGTGCAGCCATGGTCATCGTGGACCCCCGTCGACAGACGGCGGCGGTCATTAAGGGATGGCTATGGCGCATCTTTCATTTGTCCAGCTGCTCGGAGGGCTGGGCTCTTGCTTTTGAAGAGGCTTTTATGTCCTTATGTTCCTTGGCTGCGTTCCCTAAAGACATGCTTGCCCGTGTGACCCGACATTGGATCCTTCGCTGGGTGTCCGCAAAGGATGTCCGTGCAGTACAGTATGTGCTACGCGGGGATGATCCAGTGCAGCGTTGCTGGCTGGGTCACTGGAAGGTGCTGAACTCCCCTATGACACCTGCGTCCAGGTTGACATGCACAGTACAGGTCGAGGGGGGCTGCATGCAGTGCCTTTGGTTCCTGGTAGGAATCTGATTGTTTGAATACCTGTTTTGGTACTTGGTACTTGCTCTTCCGGCGTGCTTGTGGTGTGATGGAGTTTGCCCTTGGTTTGTTGTGATGTCGGTGAGGCGATGGAGCTTGCAGTCGGTTCCTTGCGATTCATATGATGATTCGGCTTGCGACGTGTGTGCACTCTCATTCTCACCCTTGAAATTCTCAAACTCATGTCGCCCAGAGCCTAGAAATATATATAAATTTATATAAATATATATATATATAGAAATGTTGCAGATGTGGCCCCGCAAGATGGCAGGATCGTTTAGCAGCAACCCTAATCATGTGAGCTTATCCTGGTGAAATTGGGCCTGGGCGGCTGGGTTCCTCCAAGATATGTACCCCCCCTGAGAATGGATGAATTGAAAAAAACGTGCACCATCTACAAGCGCCAGAGTACCGCAGTAGAGTTGCGCCATCAGTAGGCATCCGGACAGTATAAAAAGGGCGGGGTTTGAGCCAAAAACGGCCGTACTCTCCTTCAGCCTTTCTCGGCTGACCTACATTCAACCCCATACAAATCAGTCCAAACCCATCCAAAGCAGTCCAAACCCAGCTCAAACCCATCGGCACCCATCCTACTCTGTCTTCTGCTCTTTCTCCTGCTTTTCCTTTCTCTTTGTCTTTCTCTTTCTCTTTCTGTACACAAGGATTCAGCTAATTCTGCTTTCTGCTTTCAATAGAGTATACAGATGGAGCGTGCCGTGACTGCAGTTGCGAAGAAGATCGAAGAAGTATCCAACGTCTGGCGGGCTTCATTCCACAGCAAGATGGATTTTGATCGAGACATACCAAAAAAAATCAAGAGCCTCTTTAGCCGACTTCCGAGGCTTTGCTCCCCGCACACTTGGTCTTTCGCCTGGTGGGCCAGGATGTTCCCAGTCTTCTCCGTGCGTTGGCCGCGCTTCACATCGCCACTCACCGAGGTGGCCGCGAGCTTCGGCGAACCTTGCAAAATGGTGAAAAAGTGTGGCCTGGAGGGGGCCCCAAACTTACCAGCAAGAGAGGATATGCTGCTGAACATCAATTTCACTGCCAATGATTGTGTCCTCTGGAAGGCGCCATGCTCCATGGCAAAATGAGCGAGATGGGTACAACACCAAATTCTGCCTGCTACCAAGATGCTGGACAGGAAGGAACAATGGCTGCCTCTCATGTAGACAGGGATCACCTTTGTGCAAACACACGGGTTGAAGTTGTAGGGCTCCTGCCATCCACATCATCCACCAAGCAATTTGTTCAACGACCTGTCGCAGCGGATCCGTCTGTCGGATGCTCCTGGGGCGTCTCGGACACGAAAATCCATCGAGGCCCGGAGAGCCGATGAAGCTCTGGAGCCTGGAGCGAGCAGCCCTTAGGTGTCTAGTTGGATTGAAGGCTAATATGGCGTCAAATACCATTTAGGAAGGGGAGATCTGAGATGTATAAATCCTCTCTACCAAATAAAAATGTTGAATGTTTTGAAGGTTCATCTTGGAAAGGAATACTCCAAGGCGTCCGTTTTGCAGTAACAACGGTGTGGTGCAGCTGCAGAACATGACCTCCAAAAATGATCATCCCGAACTCCAGTTCATAGTGGGGAATCACGGGCAATCCTTCGCTACCGGGCAAACATCAATGCATGCTGCATGAACGATCAAGTGTCCAGTAGGGCTGGCTTGTAGAACCAGTTTCACATAGGCTCAACATATACTGTACATTGGGCTTGTATCAGCTTAGGTTCCTCCAAACTCGCTATCATCCGGCCGGTGAACTGGTTGGCTAGCTTCAAAGCCTTCCAAATGAGACGCGGCATGATCATTCTGCAGGTCATTTGCGAAGGGCCAAAACCAAATGGATAGGCCGACTGGCACGACCAAAATCACCACCCCGCACCCGGTCGGGGATCTGCGACTTGGGCTGGGCCGGGTCGAGACACACCACCTCGCTCTCCTGCAGCTGCGGCTTTGTGTATATACTCAGCTTGGGACGCGAAGCTGGGTGAACAGGTTTCTGCCGCATTTTCTCAAGGTGGCCGTCACGATTCCTTGAAATTCCTTGTCACTTTGGCTTGGGGCGCTCAAGCTGCTTTGAAGAATTGTTCGGGGACCTCCTGCTTGCAACGATTGCTTCCCTTCTGACAGCCATGTGCTGGCGAAAGAAGGTAGCGCAAAAGAAAAGAACTCACCTCCCGGCCTCCCCCACGCACCCTATGAAAATACCCCAAAGGCCCTATATACCTTCACCTCAAGCAGGATCGGTGTAGTGTCTCGCGGCATCTCCTCAAAGTGCAACAAGGAGTTCTTCCAGTTGAAGGAGAGCTGCAGCCCGATGCGCGGTGGCGCCTTGGAGACGTCCAAGGCCTGTCCATGGCCATCCCAGCTCATGGGAAAGGCGATGGAAGGCACCTGGAAAGGCTGCACATGCAGCGGTGCTTCGCAGCCGACCCAAAAGCCGCCCCAGCGGGTCGGTCTATGGTGGAGTGCGATGTTTCAAGGCCTCCAACCTAGTAGCAATGGCCTCCAAATAGAAGCGAACCGTGCCAAAGCAGCGCCTCGAAGGCTGAGACGTCGAGGCCTTGGTTGCGGAAGAGGATATGGCAAGCCTCATGAGTCACCAAAGCTGCCTGGAGGTTTTTCACCTGAGCACAGCAGCTCGATTGATCGCCCAAATTTAATGAATCAAAGTAATACAGCAATACAGTAACTTCTATACAAAATAATTGTGCGGAAAAATGATTCCATGTGGCGTCCCTTCCAATATGTAAATGTAATTATTTAAGGGAACCGTTTCTTTCTATTTGGCATCACACATGGGAGCCAGATCCGATGCCTGGCTCTTGATCTTCGACAAGTTGTACATGAGAGATCCGTTCCCCTTCGGCTTACCGAACATGAAGATTGTGAAGAACCAATCTTCTGAGCCAGGAGGGAAGGCAGCCTGGCCAAGATCGGCAAAACACTCGGAAATACCTGGACCATGTAGCTTCTCGCTACCATATATAGTAGTACTCCACCCTAGTAGCGATGGCCTCCAACCAAATAGTTTCTAGCTACTAGTAGTAATGCCCTTGTTCCTAGTAGCGAGTCGCGGAGAATCGGTTGCAAAATTTGATCAGTTTCCTCATCTTGGGCCGGTCCGATGGGCGGGGACCGTCCCGTTGTGCGCCCCTTCCTCGTCGCCTCCGACTGCAAATGAGACAGTCAAGTCCGGTCCCCTACCTCAAGCCGTAGAAAGTGCTCTGCCTGGCCTTTTCATAGCTCTTGTAAGTGCTTGCATCTGGGCGCAGAAAGCTCGCGAGGATCAGTTTCTTGGCACCCAAGAGCAAATTCCAAAGTCCTGCAGCGTCAGCTGTGGTGGGCATCAAAACAGCGAGACGAGTTCAGCTGGTTTTGTGGTACATTCACTGGTTGCTGAGTCAAATGGGGTCTCTATTTCGCTCTTTTAACGTCAAGTTAAACAAGTACCCACAGTTTGCAATGCTGCCTATGCATTCCACGCCTGCTCGGCCGTCATCTGTCAACGAAGAGGTTAGCGGCCAGTATCTCCCAAAAACATCGCCAACTCGCCTCATTGTCCCATGTGCCCTGACAATCCCCGAGGCACTTCAGGAGTTTCATGTTGACAACATTTGACAACCATCCTCATGTTCTCCGTGCTAAGGTCCGTGCTACCATGTTAGTGCAACTTTACATCCTCTTCTCCCCATGCGCCATGATGCATGTGGGTGGATGGGCTGGGGATGGCGGGGAGGTGATAAACTTTGCTGTCGCAGCTCAGGGTTTGTGACGGACTCTCAGCGCACGCCTACGTGGTTGCTTTCACCTACTTGCTGTGACAAGATCGAGCCCAGAAACCTCTTGCGTGCTGACTAGACCGCATCGCGCGGGCTTTGGCAATCGACAGAAAGAAGTTTCCAGCGGTTTGCCGTCTCCAAGGAATTGCTTTAAGACGCCTTAGCGGTCCTTAACGAAAACACCTGACGAGGAAAATGCCTGAGTGTCACACTCGCACGGTCACACACGGGTGTTGAAGACGCTGTTGTATGCAATGGATTTGAACGGCGGGGGCATTTTGCATGGCGCCTGCTAGGGTTTTGATGCCTCAACAATTGAAACGCAAAGACAGTGATCATGTTTTGACAGACCTGCCAATAAAAAATCAATACAGTTTCAACACTCAGGAACAATTGAAATCTTTAAACAAAGCTTGGGTCCGCGCAGCAAAACGATGTGGGAGTTGATCTAAATTTCTTTATCCGGGATCCGTCATTTTCGCCGAAAAAGAAATTACTTTAGCCAAACTTTCGCCTTCCTGCGTTTTATCTTTCGCCGAAGTATGTTGTATTTATGTGTGCCATGTATGTTGTGTTTTGTTCACGTCAATGGCTTCTTCTTTACTGGCAAACACAAAATAGAAACTTCACTGTTTGTCAGCATGTGTCTTCTACTTAACTGTTGACAACCTGTACGTCTCTTTTGTTTCTCCTGGGTGTCAGCAAGAATCAAAATTGCAAGAATCACTGTAATAGCCGGTCACTCAAACTTACTCATAATGGGCTGGGGGTCAGATGTGGCAGGGTGAACTTTCGCCAATCTTGAGCTGAACTTTCGCCAAACTTTCGCCTTTTGCGGGGTAGAGTTTTGTGGCAAAGCCACCCCCCCAGTAGTGGTAGTAGAAGTAGTAGAAGTAGTAGTAGTAGTAGTGGTAGTAGTGGTAGTAGTAGTGGTGGTAGTAATAGTAGCAGTGGTAGTGGTAGTAGTGGTAGTAGTGGTAGTAGTGGTAGTAGTGGTAGTAGTGGTAGTGGTAGTGGTAGTGGTGGTGGTAGTGGTAGTGGTAGTAGTAGTGGTAGTAGTAGTGGTAGTAGTAGTCGTGGTAGTAGTAGTAGTAGTCGTCGTCGTCGTCGTAGTCGTAGTCGTAGTCGTAGTCGTCGTCGTAGTAGTAGTAGTAGCCGCAGCAGCAGCAGCAGGTGATCTAACTGCCACAGCTCATCTAATTTCTGAGTCACTGCCACCAGCTGTTCAGGAAGCAAATAAACATTCATACAGAAGTACATATTTATATAATCTTTCGCCAGATCTTTCGCCGAAAAAATTTACTTTCGCCAACTCGAGAAAAAACTTTCGCCAAATGAGATTTTGATATGTTCCGGGTCATCGTCATACACAATGCTGTCTAGGACCTTTAGATCGACAACCATGTAGAAAGACAGACTAGTTCAAGGTTTTCGGCGCTGCCCTCATACTGGAGCGTCTATTCTTTATGTAAGCTAGTGGCGCATTCTATGAGCCACGGCCAAGGAGTACTCCAAGGTCGATCTTCCGTGACCGGAACAACAAAGGGCCAAAAACAGGCCTAGAGGCCTCTCCTACATTAGATGTTCAATCCACATCAGTTAGTATCCTATAGGAACCCCCCCTTCACCTTTTGCAAATGGTTATCTGTGATTGATGATGCTCTCCAAGAGTTGCCATTGAGGCCTCTTTCCATAAGAAACCGCACCAAGAGGGAAAGAAAGGATGGATATTTTTTTCCGGGAATGTTGTTCAGATTTTGTTCCGGGAATTTTGCTTCACGTTTTTTCCCCTACTGTTTTTGCTTTTGCTTCTGCTGGGAGTGCTTTACAAGCACTAGGAGCAGCAGAAAGGGCAGGGGACGAAGCACCAGAGCCAGCGTGACAGTGACAAAGGGAGGGAACAGAAAAGGTATTTCACTTACTAGGGACTTCTTTGCGGTTGTCTTTAGCTTCACTGGCTTCGGGTTTCTTTGGGCTCGGTTTCTTGTCTTTAGGGTTTCTTTAGGCGTTCTTCCGGAAAAGGCATCCCACTTAACGAAGGAGAAGTAGGAGGAGAGAGGAACTATAATAGGGACTTTTCTGCGGTTGTCTTTGGGCTTCAGTGGTTTCGGGTTTCTTTGGGCTAAGCAAAGTAGAAATCCACCTTTGCGGCAGCGTCAACGCAAAGAAAATAGTAGTTGTTGCGGTAACTGTGGTAAGACTCGTAGCGGTGTGGTCCGAGTGATAGAGGTATTGGAAATAGTAGGGGTGGTGGACGGTAGTGGCAACAATTAAAAAAAACGGGAGGGGGTGCGCGCAGCGCCTTCCCCGCAATGCAAATCAAATATAGACAGCGCTGGGCTGCTTCGCTTCTTGATTGGTGTAATTGGGTGTCAAAGCTCAAGGTGAAGGTCTTATCATCCAACTTTGTGGCAGCGTCAATGTAAAGAAGACAGTCAGCAGAAGCAAAAGCAGAAGCAAAAAAGCAAAGGCAGAAGCAAAAAGCAAAAGCAGAAGGAAAAGCAAAAGCAAAGCAAAAGCAGAAGCAAAAAGCAAAAGCAGAAGCAAAAGCAAAAACAAAAAGCAACAGCAGTAGGGAAAAAGACACGAAAAAAAATCCCGGAAAAAACTGAAACAAATTGCCGGAAAAATAGGCGTTCCGGAAAGAAATTCATAAATATGAATAAAGTCTATATACCTTTTCTGTATATTCAGCACTCCTATATTATATGTTGTGCATGTGTACATGTATCTCTCTATCTATGTCTATTATGTTAGTATGCATATGTATATATATATACGGCACACTCTCACCTGCCCAAGCAACCCAGCACCAATTCGAAGCATGTTCCGGTAGAAGGGGATGTTCAGAAACTCGGCAAAGCCCCCGCCAACTCTCTTGAACCGCTCGGCAGCCTCGGCTGACGGATCTTGAGGCTACATTTCTCTCACAGGTGGAAGAATTGACTCCCACGACAGTCAAGCCCTGCATTTGCACCATGCTCCAACGCCCCACCTCCAGTCCCAGCTGGTTCTGCTCAGCCAGAGCCTGGGAGGCCAAAGCCTCTTGGAAGCTCAAATGCCTGGCGAATGCGATATCTGACAGCGCCAACTTAACCTTTTGCAATGTTCCACGAAGACCTCACACACACTTATGGATATGCGTACGGAACTGATAGCGGTGCCACACGCCGGCCTAGGGTTCCATTTCCTAAGAGAACCAGTAAGGACCATCGGAGCCTGGGGGTCTGTAAGAGGAAGTGAGGCCAAAAGCGCAAGGTCGAAGGCGACGAACAGGTCGAAATGACGACGATCGCTCATGTCTGCAGCAAGTGAGGTTCTAGGCTTAGCCTCATGCCATTCGGAAAAAGGAAAATTGCAGGTACGTCGGTGAGCATCCCCACCGATATCAGTGTTCAACGCAAGCCTCTTCGTTGGGCTGGTACTTGCATGAACAACCAGCCCCCCTGCTGAAAAGAAAAAATCCAAAGGGATCCCTGTGATTACAAGGGGCGCACACACACACACGCCTCCCCGAGGGGAGGCATGTTTTAAGCGCCGCGCCAGAAGGTTGGGTGAGACTAGGTGAACTGACGAAGTTCACGGTAAGTTTGATAGGCTGTCAGAGGTAGTCGGAGTTGGCATATGGCATCATCATGTAGGCGGGCGGCAACAGTGTGAAGAGGTCGATATGGGAAAGGAGTGGGGTCGCGAGGAAATTCATTTGCGATCCCCAGAGGGCGAATCCGTCGGGAATTGACGTAATAGAGCACGAGGTCTTCAAGTGTACAGGTGTGTGGAACTTCCCAAACACGAGAGTCGCCGGTAGACGGTAGGGCCATCCAAAATGCTGCGCGCTGTTGTCCCAAACGGGAGTAAATCACATCTTTGAGATCGTCAACGGTGTACTCCTTGGTTTCAAGTTGGTGGGTGTCCAGGGTCACGGTGATGTAGTTGAGGGGTTGGTAAACGAGCAAGCTGATGTCGAGTTCAAGCCGAATGGTGGGGAGATTGGGTACTAGATCCAAGGATTCAAAGGGTTGACGAACATCGCGCCACGTAGTGGGTATCAATTGGGTCAGAGGTTCAGGAACTCGAAGTCCGGGGGACGAGATCATCGCGGAAGGAGGAGAAGGCGAGTGAAAAACGCACACACTTGAGGAGCCAATGGCTGCGGAGAGAGAGAGAGAGAGAGAGAGAGAGAGAGGAAGAAGGGTAAAAAATGTGTCAAGTGTCAAAGATGATAACAAAGCGTGTTGTAACCGAAGGAGCAGGACTCCAACGATGCTGTTTTCGGCGGAAAGTGAGCTCTAATGTACAAGGGAAGCTCGTACGGCCTCGACCTGAGGATCTTGTTGTCGCCCAAGTGGTGGTCAGTCATGGGTTCCAGCAGAAGGTGGAAAAGGAGGAGCCAAGGTGTTCTGGAGGAGGAATTCAACGCCATAGATCCCGAGTCAGGTACGGGGAGTCCTGCGCCGCTAACAACCGGGTCGATCGGGAGTTCTTGACCTGTAGGTGCAGGAGGAGCTGCGGAGGAACGGTCCGGAGCGGGAGCGGGGTCATCTTGGCGGAGTGCTTGATTGAGTTCGTCCTGGTACGTAGTGAGGGTGTGTACTACGCCTTAAGGTGCTCCAAATTTTCGACAGCCTGACGTTTACGTCCTCTGGGGGGATCTGTTGAAGTGGTGTCTGACATGATCGGGTTGTTTTCAGCGGCCAAACGTTGCTCCTCAAGACGAAGTGCATATTCATAGTTCTCACATGCCTCCCAAATGGGAAGGCTTTGAATGGCTGGTAGTACCAGTTGCCAGCCCCGAGTGCCCCACACACAGTGCTGAGTGTGCCAATATGAGGAATGGTGGACATCAAGGAAATAGCCTGATGCGGATTTCAAGTAAGGAATATCCTCGTGGTCCCAGCGAATGGTCTGATGGTGGAACCAGGATCGATAGAACCAGTGACGGGAAGGACCGCATTGACGGCATGCCCATTCCTCATAAGGTTTGGCAACAGGATAAGATCCATGAGTACGGTTGTGGACCTGCTGAGCATAATCGGTGTAATCCTTGTTGTATTGGTTTTCGACTCGAGGAAGTCCTGGGAGTAAGGTGGGATCCACTGCATGCGTATCAATCCAGGTGGTGGACCCGGGGGCCAAATCGACCACGATAGGGTGACCATCATGTCCAAGCGGTAGGGCGACAAAGCTGGAAAGCGCCATTTGTTCCGGGGTCAAAGGGCAATCATCGGTAGGTACTTGAGTCGGAGATGAACTATCCGAAGGGTTTCGGGCGTCATCGTTCGGAGCGTGGGTGTTCTCCATATCGGACGGAGAGGAGTCGTAGCAAAGGGGCGAGGGTCTGAACCAAAGAGCTGCGGAAGGAAGAAGAAGGAAAGGAGAAAAGGGTGAACAAGATGCAGATTAACTTAGGGAAGGTGAAAGTCGAGATTTTTTCGGTGGTGGCCTTTTTCCAAACGGGAAGCGGAGGTAGTGAGAGATGAAACAAAGAGATGAATTATTGAATTAAGGCTTAGCCTCAGGTAGTCGAAAAGGCATCGATGGGCGGGGAATGAGAAATGGTACCTGCTCCCCATTGAGTTTGACGAGAAATCCAATCAGAGGAAGGGGTAAAGCCGAGGTAGAAGAACTCGAGGTCAGCGTAGTCGCGCATGGAGAGATTGTGGGGGGAGTCGAACTGTAAGGAGAGGTCAACGTCGTCCGTAATGAAATAGGAGGCTCTGCTGGGCGAGCTTTCTTCGGGAGATTGGTGGAGATGAGGATAAGTTCATCAGGGTCCCGAAGGTGAGAGGCCACGGAAGGACGAGGTCGTCTGATGCATGTACTGGATGACGTAGTCATTGAGCTCGTCAAAAGGAGTTCGAGTGGAGGACAGTGAGACAAGAGTTTGAGCCAAGAGACTACACGAACGAAAAATTGGGATGGACCCCGAAGGACAAAAGAAACATCAGGAAAATGAAGTGCACTCGAACATTGAAAAGCAGCAGCGATGTCTTTTCAGCCGACAACGTACCGCGAAGAGTCGAGCCAGTGAAATGGCGACCATGAAGGTATGGAGGGGCGTCACGAGGCAGCAAGTCGTTGAAGTTCAAGAAGTTCAGCCCAACGAGCGCGGATCTGGGACAGCGGGCGCTGCATCTTGCTGGCAACGTAGCGCCGACTGGGTCGAAGTCGTTCATTGCATTTGAGACTAAGAAGGGGATCATCATCTTTGGCGCTCCAATCATCTTCCCAGGGAGTATCAGAGTGTGGGCGTGGAGAGGCGGGGAGGGAAGGTGAGTCAGAAGAAGGAGGAGAGGGTGGGCCCCGTTTCCGGGGACGAGAAGGAAGGGGGGGAACCGAGGGTGCGGAGGAGACAAGAGAATTGGAGGGGGAGGGAGAAGGGTGGGGAGCACAGGCAGAGGGGTGAGGCTAAGCGAAACCAAGGGGAGGGCGGGGGAAGGGGGGAGGGAGAGAGGAGGGGAGGAGGCGGGGTGAGAGGGGGCAGGGGAAGGGGAGAGGTGAGGAGGAGAAGAAGGGAGGGGACGAGAGGGAGAAGGGGGGAAGAGAGGAGGAGGAGAGATGGGTGGGGCAGGGGGAGTGTTTGATCTAGCCGATGAGGTAGGCGACGGTGGAGGAGCCCTGTAGTCTTCCGGAGATGGTGGTTGCTGGAGGTGCAAATGAAGTCCTGGAGATCCGCAAGGTGCCCAAGTGATAGAGGGACAAGTAGTCGTCAATAATAGTGGTGAGGTCTGATTGGCGGATGGTCCAGAAGGACACGAAGTTGGGGCCAGGACAGTTGTTGACGGACCCTCTGGGGATTGAATCATGTCTGCCAAAAGACGAAGTGCAACGATGACGATGTTCAAGTGGGTCGCGACTGTAGACATGAGGTCCGATGGAGTGGGACGAGACATGTCCGCAGGTTTAGAGTTTGAGCCGAAATACTGGTAGAGTAGAACAATGAGAAGAGTAGTGGAAGTGGAAGAAGTGTACCCTAAGTCACCGAAATTAGTAAATTTACATTTTTATTGGATTTACGTAAATTCATGAATTTAGGTGGCAAAAAGTGTAAACGGGTTAGTAAATGTAAATTCGATTTAGGTACAACCTAAATTTATTTAGGTTGGTCTTCACTAAGGGTTTTCCCTATTTTCTCTCTACTTTTTTTGATTTGCAAATATTCAAAACTGCATCTAAAACACATCCTTTGAAGAAAGTAATTTGTAAAACATATAGCCACAAGTAGAGACACTTGGATAAAAGCACAAGTACACACATTCAGGTATAAGCACACAGGAAAGACAAGCGCAAGCGCAATGATTTGGGTGAAACAGAAAAGCAGACACACTCAGGTAAACACAGTTCCAATTTGGAAGAACATGTGGCCACAAAGTGTTTGGGCTGCTACTTTTTGGGCAGCTGCTTTCCCAGAAAACCTCCTCTAACTTAAGCATTGTTTTTCCAGAAAGCCATCCTCTTCAACTTCTGGTGCTTCCTCCTCCTCCTCCTCCTTATCCTCCTGCAACCCTTCTGCCCAGCCATGAGCTGGCTGCGCGGTCTCTCCACTTGCAGCAGGCCTTTTCAAACAGTTGGCCTTTGCCTTTGACTTTGGTTTGCCCTTTCCTTTTGCTTTTGCTTTGGGACTCTTTCCTTTAGGGCTCTTTGCTTTGGCAGCAGGTTTCTTCTTCACAGGGCCACAGGGGTGATTTTTGCTCAACCTCTTCCTTCTCTTCAGGTGTGACTTGGCCCATAGGAATTTCTTCGTCTGCCATGCCAACAAGCTACTGCACCTATCTTTCAAATCTTTCAAAGCTCTTTTGAGATCAATCTAGCTGCAAAAGTAAACAACAACCAATAAGCCTGCAGTAAACTCTCAACAACTTCAGTTTGAACAACATACAATGCTGATCAACTCTTTGTGCAAAAGCATTACATTCTCAGGTAAAGGGTAAACCCACACGACTGCTAGGTCTGTTTGTTTTGCTGGCAAGATGATGCAGAACATCAAAACTGTTCATAAAATCTGCCAAAACCTGTATGAATTTGTGATGCACTTTTGGTGCACTTCTGATGTACTTTTGATGTACTTTTTAGAAGTGTATACACTTTTAGCAAAAGTGTATACACTTTTGACCAAAAGTGTATACACTTTTAAAACGTACATCAAAAGTACATCAGAAGCACATCAAAAGTGCATCAAGAATTCATCAACATTTTATCTCAAATTTATAGTTTTTGAACTAAATTTCATAAATACATATCAAATGCACTTCAACTCACAACAAGACAACACACACTTCCAAGTTGAATGGCATCCTCGTGTAAAGTGTACTTACACAAAGTCTCAACCTGAAGAAAAATACACTCAAGTAAAACCATCCTCAAGTAAAACCATCCTCAAGTAAAAGCAATCTCACATCCTCAAGTAAAAGAAACCGCAAGTGAAATCACATCCTCAAGTAAAAGCTTCTCAAGTAAAGTCACACCCTCATGTAAAAGCTGCCCAAACAGAATCAAACAATGAAGTAAGAAGGCTCATGGAACAAAGTTTCTTTGCGCAGCACACCCACAGATACATCTTTTTTTCCTCCCCAATCACTAGAGCTGCTCATGTCCCTGAAGTTGCGCAAGACATCCATCATGGTCTCGATGCGGTCTTCTCTCCTGAGCATGGAATGAAGCAGCGCTGGGCAAACAATGGTTATGGCCCAAACTGGCTGGTCAGAAATAAACACATAATACTGTCCAGTGTCAAACTTTCACCAACCATCTTCAAATGTCAAACAGTGATCAAACAATCCCAGAATCAAGTAGACGCCCTCAAGCAAAAGGTTTTGTTCAAGTCAAGAAGGGTACACATGCTCAAGTAAATGCAATCCCTTCAAGTACAGGCAAAGTCCACACCTCCTGGCATGCTCATGCTCAGTCAACAAAAACAAAAATCCATAGCGCAAATATCCTCAAGTACATGTTGTCCTGTAGAAAACCTTGCTCTTTGGACAAAGCCAACTCACATACATTTAGACATTTTCTGCTTCAGAATCATGCTCACAAAAACTTACTCATAACCTAAAAATTAATCATAACCTAAATTGGATTTACTCGTAACCTAAATTGGATTTTCTATTACATTTACGTATTTTTTTACGTAAATTTTCCTTAGTAAAACTAAAAAAAATTGCGAAAAAATTATGGTTAGTAAAATTACTAATTTGGGTGACTTAGGGTAACAGCAGGAGTTGCAAAGACAAAGGTGAATACGGCCGTCATTTTGTCACGAGGATTGTTTCCATGTGCTGCATCAGGTGAGGAAGTGAGAAACCGACATTGGGAATGAAGTGCATGAAGAAGTTCCCGATGTAGAACTGCTTGTGCAACGAGAGATATACCTGGAGTCGGTGCGAGGCCACAAGGCGGAGAGGGCGTGCCGGACATGGCTAAAGGCACGGGGGGATGATCGAATCGGCTCGAATCGGACGGATTGCTGAGAGCCAAGGAGGTGAGACAAAGAAGAAGAAATCAATCTGTGACATGATTGAAATTATGACATGACTGAATGTGGAATTGGCCGAAACGAAGGAAGTGAGGATAGGTCAACTTTTTATTCGAACGCCGAGTGGAAGGTGTGTGAGACCTAACGTGGTCGTGGAGGAGAACGGGAGCGAAAGCGTGTCGTCCTCGTCAATGTCGAAGCTTGATGTGGTACTGAAGGATAGGAGTGAGTGGTGGGGGGAGGAGGATGTGGTCCAGCGGTAGTTGTCGAAGTAGGGGTCGGAGGGGCCGGTAGGGGAGAGGGTGGAGAAAGGATCAAACGGGGCAGGAAGGAGGAAGGAGAAGGAGGTGAAACCGGTGTATCGAAAGGGGTGGTCTGGTCGCGGAGCTGGGCAGTCAATCGAGTGTGTCCTCGGTCGAAGTGAGTAAGATGTAGTAGGCCCAAAGCGTCGAAAAGTTGGTCCGTGTAAACAAGAGTAGTGCAGGTGGCTCGTTTGATTTGACCAATACTGGCGTCCAGTCCTCGAAGGTAAGCAATAAGACGAGGGCAAGTGATGGTGTCCGCGAGGGCAGGAGTCAATGTGTCCCAAGGTCCTCGTAGAATCGTGAGGACCAGCTGCAAAGAAGAATTTTTGTGAAAAAGTTCCCGATGTAGTACGGCGTGAGCTGCAAGAGGTAGTCCTGCAACTGGTGCAAGTCCTGTAGGAGGAGAGAACAATGTCGAAGTCGAAGAAGACATGGCGGCGAGGATGAGGGCGTGGAGAATAAATCGTGAAAGTCAAGCTGGAGCCAAAGGGGAGAGAAACAAAGGAAGAGGAAAGGTACAATGCCAAGGTGTAAACATGTGAATCGAAAAGAAAGAAAGAGAAAGAGAAACCGTAGCTTATTTTCAAGCGGTCCAGTCGAGGTGGAAGAGTGAAACTAGGTGTCCCTCGGACGGGATCGAGACCGGGAGCGATTCATAGCGGCTCGAAGCTCCGCAGTGGAAAGGGGTCGGTTCGAAGTAGTAACGACAAATCCATGTGTAGATCGTGAGGTGGAAGAGGGCCGGGTCATCCGCATAATGTCATCATCTGGAGTGAGACTGGTAGGAGTCATTCGTCGCGTCGACTGAGAGCCTGGAGCTGAAGGAAGATTGGAAGGAAGACGAGGATCTCGAAAAGTAGTGCGTCCACGCAGTTCGGCATCTAATTGAGCAGTATCAAAGGTCAAAGCGTGGATCAGGCCAAAGGTGGTAAGTAACTCTTGAATGTAGTGAAGACCGGTATGAATGGCCTGAGACGCTTGGCGAATTGCAGAATCAAGTCCTCGAATTTGTACCTGGAGGTGCGGCGAGGTGATGCAGTCCAGGAAGGTGGGAGAGAGGACCTGGGGAGCCATTCGATCACTAAAAATGCGATCAAACAGCTCTCGACCCTATTTTGTAAAGCTTTGATGCCATTGCCCGTTTTCACGGCCATTTGGTTTTTTCACGGTTTCAACTCCTTGAGTTCACGTTTTTCACGCCTTTTCGCGGCCAAGAGCCGTTTTTTCACGTCCAAATGCACATTTTTTCATGGCCTTACCGGCTTTTTCACGGCCAAACAATTGTTCACGGCCATACCGTTTTTTCGTGTCCAAATGGCCATTTGACCTTCGACCTTGTTTTTGGTGATCAAATGGCCCCCCAGGGATGGCGAGTCGAGTGCGAAGGAGCAAGGTAGTAAGGGTCAACAGGGCGTGTACGTGAAGAATCTCACGATGTAGAATGGCCTGGGCCCTCATCGGTATGCCCTCCACTGGAGCGAGACCGGCAGGGGAAGGCGGGAAGGAGGATCAGATCACCTGAGGTACTAAGGCTCCAACAGGTTCCAATGAACCTTAAACTGGCTTTGACCGCTATAGTCACCTTGTGCCCTGCCGAAATGGCTGGCTGCTTTGACCGCTGCGGTCACGTGAAGGCATGAGCCAGCTTGGAATTCCAAGATGGGACAAACATCCAAATTCTTGTGGCATGAGCCAGCTTCGCCCGCTGTGGGCACTTACGTTTCCAAAGCAAGGGAAACAACGACAAACCCCCGTTCGACGGGTCCACGGGAGGCTCTACGGGCTCATCCCGGGTTGGCACGAGGCCAAACACACTTATGGATATGCGTACGGAACTGATAGCGGTGCCACACGCCGGCCTAGGGTTCCATTTCCTAAGAGAACCAGTAAGGACCATCGGAGCCTGGAGGTCTGTAAGAGGAAGTGAGGCCAAAAGCGCAAGGTCGAAGGCGACGAACAGGTCGAAATGACGACGATCGCTCATGTCTGCAGCAAGTGAGGTTCTAGGCTTAGCCTCATGCCATTCGGAAAAAGGAAAATTGCAGGTACGTCGGTGAGCGTCCCCACCGATATCAGTGTTCAATGCAAGCCTCTTCGTTGGGCTGGTACTTGCGTGAACAACCAGCCCCCCTGCTGAAAAGAAAAATCCAAAGGGATCCCTGTGATTACAAGGGGCGCACACACACAGCACACACATTATTGGCTCTTGTATGGCTGTATGGAGCAGGTTTCCAGAGCGGGGTGTATTTCACATCAGTCCTGAACTGATACTCGGCATCATCACCATCCGCCAAGATCTTCACAAAGGGCACCTCTCCCTTTTCGACAAACTTGGCCCACACAGGAAGTAGGTGCTTGTCCTCCCCAGTGCAAGGAGGAACCACCGTCGGCGTCAAACATGTATGCAAATATTTTGCCTATTTTGCTGCAGCCTAAGTGCGTTGCGTAATCTTGCATGCACCTGCATCCGGCAATTCTACATGCCGGCCTTCACCAAATCATGGTCAAATTTCTGAAGGAACAAGCAGGCTGGCAGGACAAACATACAAGATTGACCCAAAATGTTCATGTGCATACTCTCAACTCTCAACTTCTTGCAGGCCCGCGTGATCCTCACCACCCCTCTGCAGTTCAGTCCGCCCAACCTCAACCAAGGCCGTCTCCACATCTTTCTGCATAAAAATACGCTTCCTAATGCAGGTGCGGTGTGACACTTTTCATCAGGGATTCTCGACCAAAAGAAAACAGCAAGGTGCCACAGATGCGCCTAGCCAAAACATCACCAAATAGCAGCAACTGCAGCAGCCACAACCACAGCGATGCCAGAACCACCCCACGACCACGCCTGCCACAAACACCACCACAACGGCAAGCTTCGCCACAACCACCAACTGCGCCGTTGCACCGCCCCCAAGATTGGGAAACCCATCGCTGCAAGAACAAGGACCGGATCACCCCGTGTGAAGCTCTTGTGTTTGTAGCAACTGGCGCCTACAGCGGAAGGAAGAGGTGAGGGAGTGCAGCTAAGGGAGGGTAAGTGAGTGAGTGTAAGTTGAGTTAGTGTCAACTGAGTTGGTGAGTTTATTGGCGTGAGTTGAGTTGGTGTGGTAAATGAGGAGGACGTGAGGAACAGGCAGCGGCGCCAGCGGACGGGATGCACAGTAAAAGTAGAACGCCGCACAAAGGCACAAGAATGTGGAGAACAACCTCACACAAAACCACGCACAAAATCTCAGTGGCTGGTTCAACTGATTGTTCAGCGCCACCAGCTGCATGAGCCGCCAGATTTCCACAATGTCTTCCTTTGTCACGTCGCCAAGCTGACTTGAGAGGATATTCTGCAACCCCATGTCCTCAGTCACATTGATTAATTTTTGGGCCCCCAACCGTGCGCAAAATACTCTCTCAACTGCCTCAGGAGGCTACACCGGCCAAGGCGCGTAAAGTTCGAATAGGTTCGAGGGCATCTGGTTGGAGTGCAGCAAAGCCATGGTCATCACCGACAAGAGAACTGGGACTTCAGAAATTTCCTGCCACACAGTCAATAACACGGCCGGACTTCTCACAAAAGCATGAACCCATAACCAGTCCCAGTCCTTGAAGAGCAGCATTCGCTCTTCCAACATAAAGTTCAGGCCTCGGTTGTGATTGCAGAGTTGCCGGGCCTCGGGTGGTAACGGCCTCGGATTCAATTCAACAGCTCATTAAAAGGCTAATCTTCAGGCCAAGTACTCGCTTCCATTTCCTTGCCATACTGGTTGGCCAGCTCCCTCCGAAAGAAGTCGTAATAGTCGTGCGCATGGCTCTCCTGCCAACCGAAGGATTTCCAGCCGACGAACGCACGTCGGTTGAGAGCCCAGCAGACCATCCATGGGTCGGTTGAGCTTGAGACCCGGCATCTGATTCACTAACATGGAAGTTGGAAGTGGAAAGGGGATCCCTGGAAGACTACTGTCCTCCTTGCAAACAGGAGGTTTTCCACTTCCATGTTTGTGAGTCAAAGTGTACAGCAGATTCTTCTTGATGAGCGGCATCGTTGAAATCAAGGATGAGCTTGTGGTGCACTTGCAACTCCACGAAGTGGGACTGCCCATCACGACTCAGCTCCAAATTCAGCAAGACCTGAAAAAATCGCATCTTCCGAGGTTTCTCTCTGCTAAAAGGTTTTCCTCAGGAAGTCCTTCCCCCCTCAGCCCGTCTCTCCCCGAAACTCGGCGGCGAGCTTGGGGCCGAAACTGTGTAACAGGTTATGACGACGGTGATGAAACTCACAAGGTCCTTAAGGTTCTCCCGAAGGAGCTCCTGTGGAAGTTTCTTGCGGCGTTTATACATCCCACATGAGGATTCACGAGGGAACAACAGCGAGTCTAGCTTCGAGATTCACCAGCTGCTGACCACGCAACATTGCGGAACCTGGAGGGATCACTGTCCTTGCTGGAAAACTTGTTCTTGGCACGTGCCAAGCTGAGCTTCACCTTTTGCCCCTCGATCTCAGTCTCATAGCTCTCCGAGATCTTCTTTAAGAAGGTCTTCATCTGGGAGCCGCTGGTGCACACCAAGCGTGCCCGGATCACATCTACTACGTTGGATTCGGCCAAAAAGTCGGGAAAGCGGTCCGCGTAGTCATCGGCGGCCTGGTGTCTGCATCTTGTTTTCTCTCAAGGATGGAACAGGGCAATGTTTCCGGTGGAGGGACTGGCCTCCAAAGGGGGCATGCACTGATGAAATATGAACTCCCCCGGAAGATCAGGAACCATCTATCTATGGTTCAACTGGCGCAGGAAGCAGACCCCAAACTACTCATGGATGAAAATCGGTTTACTGTAATGCAGCCCATCTTTGGACAGGACATCGAACGAGCGGTGAGACCATCGCAGGCATTTTGTACCAAGAGAAGAAAACAGGACGTTGCCGCTGCCCGAATGATCTCACAAGGGTTATGAGCCCAAACGTCCTTTTTTAGGCGTTGCCTCGTTTTTCTTCCGCCATGGATCGTTCACGGTCACTTCCACCTGGTTCACACGGCATGGGTAGCACGGTGAACCCTTGGTGGTCGCAAAGGCTGAAAGATGAGGTGGCTTTGCAGCGGCATCGCCCGGAGGACCTCCCAGGTCCTTTCGACGGTGACTTGGATTCGGAAGTGGCGCGGGACACAAGCGCTGCTGGCAGGACTGGAAAAGGTGACCCGAAGTGGCGGCAAGATGTTCGTCACACCACCTAGGACCTAGCCGCCGATCTGAGGGTCGAGGAGGGGGAAATAGAAGGACTGAGGGCACCATGCCGGAAGAGTGCTGGGGGTGGTCGAACTTCCTCCAAAACCATGGGCCCTCTGCCACCAGAGGTTGCGCCTCCATCGAATCCACCAAAGGTTCATGGAGAGCAGGACGGACTGCAGCGGGCGCTGGAGGCAGAGATGGTGTTGTTCTTAAGGGAACAGAACTAAGCAACCAGACAGCTAAGGAAACGGCTGGAGCAGCTATGTTCCTCATGGGAGACCGTTGAAGGCGTCACGGGTGGGCGTGGTGGTGGTCATGAAGGTTCTCATGGGCATGATCGTAGTTCCGGAGGGTGTCAAAGGCTTGACCGTGAGAGTGGTCACCAATCGGTTGGTCATCATGTTAGTGCGCAACCTCGTACACCCCGGGGGAGAAGTCCATCAACCAGACGGCCTCCTCCAACTCAATCAAAGCCGGTGCAGTTCACTCAGAATGGACCTCAGATTCCTGCGGGTCCACCCCCTCCGGATGATCCGTTCCCACCTTTTCCAACAAGCGCCTCGGCTGACATTAGTTTGCTGCAGGGGTATGAAGTGATGGAGTCTAAAAACCCTGGACGGGGCGATTCCAATTAGATCCCGTTGAGCATGAGAGAAGGGAAGGTCTTCATGCCTCAAGAGGACCGAGAAGCTCGTTTGGAACGTGAGGTGGCTGAACTCAAGTTATTGGTGGAGCGTTTGAAAGGTGATTCGTCGTGGCCAGCTGCAGCATGTTCGAAGGATGTGCCTCCTGCACCCCCCACTGGGTCGTATGGTCTTCGAGGTCACGATTTTCAAGGTCTTCGAGGTCCTGGAGGTGAAGGCGGTAAGGAACCTGGCCATGACGGTGTATGTCCTCCAGATCCTCGGTTGAAACGTGAGTCCCGACCGTCACGATGTCAGTGGCGGGATCTATGGTTGTTGGAAGGGGTCAGACGGCCCGACTCCTGTTCCCTTGCCTTGGAATGAAGGAACAGGCAACAGTAAAGCTGAACTGGCTGAGCTTTCGGCAGACGCTTCGCCTTTGGAGCTTGGAGATTGGTTGGCAGTTTGTGGACCAGTATTGAGGGACATCTCCCAAGTCAGCGCTCGCTGGTGGAATTTGACGTTGAGGGAGGCCCAATGTTACTATGATCGCTGGAAGACATCATTGATGGATGGTCGATATCAGCGGACTGAGCAGAGAGGAGTCAACCTTCTCTTGAGAGCCATCCCATCGGACCAGCAACAAGCCTTGATCACTGAATCACAGCACGTGAGCTAACATCCACTGCCTTGCTTTTCAGGCTCCTGGTGAGGTATCAGCCAGGTGGAGCTGGGGAGAAAGCGATTCTTCTTTCCAACTTGACAACCTTGGACAAGAGTCCCACGGTCTCCGAGATGGCGGCAGCCTTGCGTTCCTGGAGAAGGCATTTTGCCCGGGCACGGGAGATTGATGCAGTTCGTCCCGATGGCACCTTGTTGTTGAAGGCATTGGAACCTGCTTGCGCGTTGATTGCCTCCCTTGATGCCCAGGCATCTTTCAGACTGGCCCAGAGTCGCTTGAAACTTGGTGTTGATCAGCAGCCGCACTCAAGGAGTATGGCGCTTCAGTCAGTGTTTGCGCACGGAGGCAGAAACGCTTGTATTGATGAGCTCAACGCCTACCGCATCCACTCAGACCATCAAGGTCAAGCAGATGGAGGCCCAGACGAAGTCTTCAACTGGGGGGAATGGCACCGACAACAAAGGCAAGGGCACTTCGCTGGCGTCTATGCCTTGCAAGTACTTTCGGTCGGAGACTGGGCGCAAAGCCGGTAAGAATTGCAAGTGGTCACACAGTTGGGACGGCATTGACGACAAGAACTCCCGTTGTTGGATCTGCGGTGGCAAGGATCATCGCAAATCGGATTGCAAATTGAAAGGGCAACAGAGCAAGGGTCGTCGGGGAAAGATGGCAAGTCTGCTGGTGAACCTGGGGCAGGTTCACGGGGAGGAAAGTCGTCTTCCGTGGCTTCGACAGCCGGCTCCAAGACATCGACGTCTTCTCCACCCAAGATCCAAGAGCTGGACGCTAGCGTTGACTCAGGAAACTCTGGGCAGCCCGGTGAGACTGCGATGGGTGAAGTGAGCGCAAGCGCAAAAGGAGGTGGGGAGACGGGCTCCACTAGCGAGACTTTGCTGCAGGAGGCGACGAAGTTGTTGAAGTCCCTTCGTGCACCACAGCTTCGTGTTATCAAGGTGAGCCAGCTGGACTATGACAACAGCAGCTCCATGATTTTGCTGGATTCAGGTGCAACTCATGCCCTTCGCCCGGCTGAAAGTGAAGTTGAGTGGGATGAAGCTTCACCTTGCCAAGTCTCCCTGGCTGATGGAGTAACCACAAAGCTGCGGCTGAAGCCGGATTCAAAGATCCTATTGTCCTCTCCACACGATGCAGTGATTTTGATGTCTGCAAAATCAATATCTCAGATTGATTTTTTGAATCAATTTTTCAATTGAAAAAACCATTGTCTCTGGACCCTTGAATCAATATATTTTCAATATTTTTCCATATCCTACACCACCAGAATCAATATTTCAATCAATATTTCTGGACACTTTTTCATGCTTTTTTCATTGAACTGGGTCTGCTATGTACAAGCACCTTTTCCAAGGACTGCTATGTACAGACACCTTTTCCAAGGATTAGACTTTTTCCAAAGTCTTTGCCAAAGCCTTTTCCAAGGCTGCTGGCCCACATTGCCTTTGAGGGTTTGCCTTTTCCAAGGCCATCTTCCTGGTCAGCAGGAAGTGGACCAGAACCCTGTACTTGGGGACAACCTTCAGTGTGAGCCTGGTGGAGGACACACCAAAACTCACACTGTGGGCCAGCTTGCTGATGCGCCCTACATAATCCTCACCCAAGAAGCACATATGCTTGGTAGGGTTCATATATTTGCTATTCCATAGAAGATGTATGAAACTGTGGTGTTTGGCCACAATTGCAAAACTGTTTCTGCCCTTTTCCAAGGACCAAGCATGAAGCCACTTGTAAGCATCCAAGAAGTCTTTTCCAAGACTCATGGCTTTTGCAAATTCTCCAGCATCGCACCAAAGCTGCACCAGCTTTTCCAAGCTGCAGGCTGCTGTGTGCATCTTTTGTTCACTGATCTCTGTAGTCCCTTCAAAGAGCTTTTCCAAGACTGGGACCAGAGCTGGGAGCAAATGCTTGGCTTCTCCAGCCTTGCAATCCAAACTGGCTTTGCTTACCCATGGCTTTGCTGCATCAGTGAACATAGACAGCTTTAAGTTGGTTAAGCGGTGCTCCAAGCTTTGCTCTCTATACTGTTCTTGGATTTCAGTGAAGAGCATAGCAAGCCTTTCCCAAGGCTTTTTGACAGGCACCTTTCCAGGGCCTTCATAGTAGCATGCATAATGCAAGATGCTACCAATGACATGACTGTAGAGACCCTTGCAAAACAGTATGTGCATTGCATCCCCTCGAACATTCTTGCTGGACACGATCTCATGTGAACTCCATGGGTCGGCCAAATGTTCAGCATGGGTCCCTACTACAAACTTTTGCTTTTCCAAGCAGATCTCTTTGTAGTTCAGGGATGCATCACACCCAGCCCAATTCTGGGCATTGCACTCCCAGCAGGGGTGATGTGCAGCCCAGTGTGGGAGCTTCAAAGTGTTCGAATAGAACTCATGGTCTCCCATGACACACCACAGATGTGCAAAGTACCCTCCAATCAATGGCTTTCCGCCTGTGCAAAGAACACCCAACTTAGACATGTTAGCAATCAAGCCCTCTGCTGTTGCCTTGCCTTGCCTGGACAGTGAAGCTTTGGCCTTTCGCAAGGCATCATCCAGGTCACTTTGTACAGAGGCAACAGCATCTCTAGCTTTCCTTGCCTTTTTCAAGGCTTCCTTGAGAGCTTCTTCCTCTGTTTGCTCTGGCTTTTCTTCTTGCTCTTCTTCATGCACAGATCCATCCAGGATTGCAAGTGGCCACTTCTTGCCTTTCCCTTTTCCAAGGGCTTTCCCTTTGCCCTTGCCTTTTCCAAGGCCCTTTGCAGGTTGCCCTTTGCCTTCCCAGGCACCGACATCATCCAGGGGCAGAGCCATTGCCTCCACACTGTACAAGTGCTTGAACTTTTCCAAGTCCTGCTGATCACTGATCAGGGTCAAATTCTTGACCTGATTCCCATTTCTTTCCCCTTGAGATAGCTGTCTCCTTCTTGTAGGATTGAGTATCTTTGTACTGCCACACCCCATGGGTGCTTGGGTCTGACCGGTACACAATTCTCCCAGAGTCAAGGTGTTTGTAAAACTCTTCTTCACTGAACTTGTTCAGCATCTGCTTTTCACTTTCCCAAGTGTCCTCCTTGGTCAGCTTTTCCCTTTGGGCCTCTT